TCAACTGTGTTATTTGTAAGGCCTCTGGTCAACAATAGGCTATGAATAGTTAAGCTTTTGTGGGAAGTCAAAAGTTATATGCAGATTTTTAACCATGTCAGGTGTTTGGTGCCTTGACCCTTGCATTATTCAATGATCAGTTGTATTTTGGAAGAATATATTTTTAATATATATTTAAAAAATTATATATTTTGCAGAAATTTCCTATCCTATATATATTATTATTATTATCTATAATAAAAGGGTAATATGCTAATTAGACTGGCTCGACCGGACATCTGACTTCTTCCGGACATCGGACTTCTTCCGGACAAAGCCATGGTGCGGGGGGCCAAGGCAGAGGCAGTTAGGGGCGATCAGGCAGGCAGGTAGAGTGGTTAGGGGTGATCAGGCTGGGAGGGGAGCAGTTAGGGGGCGACCAGGCTGTCTCATTGGTCAGACTTGATCAAATGGCCACAACTCAAGCTGGATGGAGGAGTACCAGCAAAAACTGAAAGTTTAGTTACTAAAAGGAAAAATAAAGAAAATGAACCCTAGGGAGTGTCTATTACTGCCACAGATTATGGGGTGGGAGAGGTGCTTTATGACATATTCATCTCTGTTTCTAAACTATAAGAAGTGCTTGACTTATATTTGGTACTTAATAATCGTTCGATGAATTGAACTATTAACCCTAATCTCCCCGCTTCTGAAAGGAAGAATTTAGTTGTAGGCTCCACTGTTTTTTTATGTAGACTCATACCACTTTTCAGTATAAATATACAGAAGAGAATATAATATTTACTTTCAAGATTTGCTTGAAAATCTAAAATGTAATATAAGAGGAAAAAAATGTGTTAGTTTTATTTGGATTATCATCTTGCTCTCAACTTGGACTTGATATTTACATACACTTTGGGCAGCTGAGTACATGTCAAGTTGATATGTCTCTTATTCAACAGAAGGAATACCTGGTGATTGTAAAAAGTAACCCTACATAGAAGCACTGATATAGCATTAGTTTATTGCATAGATTGGTATTTAATTTTTATGTTTCCCCTTCAAATTACTAAACATATTCCAGTGTTGCTTTTGAAATAGTTTTACTACAGAGTTTTATTTTGCATAATTTTACATTACACTAATATGTGTATTGTGTGCTTAAAGGATTAAACTAGCCCTTTGCTCATGATATTTTTACCATAAAATTAGAATCAGGAAGGAAAAAATTATGACAATCTGAAATATTTGTTTCTGAAGTGGTTCCCACATACCCAAGATAAGAAATGACTTACAATGACATGTGTTAACCACAGGCATAACAGCTCTGTGGCTGCTTAGAGCAAAAAGCTGCTTTAATAAAATGGCATGTCTGTTTGCAGAGGGGAAAGTAGCACCAGAAAATAAGTTCTTTAGATACGATCAGGTCCAGTCCCCGCATTTAGCAGATGTAGAAACTGGGGCACAACATACTTAAGTGTCTTGACCAGCAAATGCTTAGAAGATGGTGGTTATATTATAACGTCTCTTTTAGGATGTCAGAGCAGATTATTATAAATTAAGATCTATTGTTTGAGTGTATGAGATATTTCCCTTTCAACATTCAAGGGAAATAGAAGGAAGCCAGTAAGAAGCCTATGAGAATGAACTTGTGAGGGAGGAAGAGGTGATGCTGTCCAGCTTCCCTCCAGCCGTGGCCAGTGCTTGTTCAATGTGGGACAGATTCCATGTCACTGGAGAGGCCTCTGTTGTAGTTGCTTCAACGAGAAATCAAAGAGAAAGGCATTTGTTCATGCAAGCGTGGAGAGATTCAGGGGGTGGGAGAGGCATAACAGGGTCCCTAGAGATAGGAAGGAGAAAGGGGAAGGGAAAAAATATGCACTTCCCTAATTAGATCATCAAAAACGTAAGAGGAATAAAACCGGTGATCATTACCAATCAACTTTTACTTTAGTTAAACGTTAATTTGGAACCATTCACAGGCAGCCATCTTCATGCTAAATTTGACAAGTCGTTTGCTAGTTGTGTGCAGTAGGATCATGCTTTGGTTGTTAGCATTTCTCCATCTTTGTACTGTGGTTCTCTGCAGCCATCCTGTGTAGCATCCTGGTTTTCTTGTTTAGGGAAGGTAATTGCACCCAGTGACGGGACTTTCCCTTCTTCTGCTTGCAGAACAATCAACCATGACGACCGAATCTGGCTCAGACTCAGAATCCAAGCCCGAGCAGGAGGCCGAGCCCC